CCAGTACATCGCCATTGAACGAACCTTTGTGCTATTGTTTCCTTTTTGCCACAAGAACACAGTTATTGGTTTTCTGATTTTTTTATTGATACACTTTTCTGTTGATGTAATTTTTGTTAATGAAAGAATGATATATTATTATCTTACCCTTAGCAAATATCCCTCCATTTTACCTAACTTCTAAGTTTAATATCTACGCGAAGAACGGGAGGCTTGACTGCTCTATTTGAAGCTCAATGACTATCTCCTCCATACATTGTGTTAATTGGCGAGAAAGTTCCCTGTGACCTCATCGTTATAATTGGGGGAATCAATAAAAGTGAGTCTATTGATCAACGGGCTTGGCTCATTCACGATGCTCGAACCTACATGCTGTGCCGAGAACAACCCTATTTTGTTGATTAATGATAACAGTAAAAGGTTTGAAGTAGGTATCTTAACGTGTCGGTAGAAGTTCATCGTAAAATTCTAGAAGTGATTTATAGTTTTGTAGAAATAAGGATTTGATATTTATTTTTTTATTAATTTATTTACTCATATTACAATAATTTATTATTTAGGTACTTGGCACTCTTAAGGGTCGTATTCTAGAACTCTACTCAATGCTCAAGTCAGGATTTGAGTATGGTTTAAAGCACTCGAAATCATACTCAAGTCCATTTGGGTCTGGGTGATTTGAGCATTGAGTTCTGGAATACGACCCTTAAACCTAAAGGGTTTGTTTGTTAATAGTGTTGCTCTATTCGTAATATACACACATAATCTTAAATATATAAACCAAATTTTGTTTATAGAAGTTAAATACTTCTAATAAATGTACGCATAGACAAAGCGTGTCACAAATAATAACAAAGGAAAAAACAATATCGTGATATTTAACAATTTTAATAAATTAAATAAAAATAACTATATAATATAATATTTTTATTATCGTTAGAAACAAAGGTAAAAACTACAACATACATACATACATATATAAACATCGTAGTTTTATAAAATATCGCGTTCCTTGCAAACCATCACAGTCCGGCGGTGGATCCGCGAAACCAGTTTGGTTGCGATGATATAGGTGCTTATACAGACAGGCTGTTCCGTATCTATCAGATTTTATAACTTTATAAGTACAGATTATGTATACATATAAAGTTTTCAATGTATATATAAATATACATGCTTTAAACTAGATATGGCATAATATTTCGTTTTTGAGGATACCTGCTGTGTAATGGCAATAGACGAAGGACAGCAAGTGGCTTAATATTCAGTCTTTCTGGTTTAAAAATTTGGCAGATCATTTTATTAGTAGAAACAGTCGTTTAGATGGCAACATTGTTAAAAATATACAGATAATGTTTATTCCCTAGTGATTTAACTGAAAAAAGATTGATAGGTCTAAGGTAGTATAAAATGGCAGTCGTTTAAATAAGAATGTTACCGGAAATAGTGCTTTAAATGGTAACACTCACATGGAAAGACTTTCGACTTAAACGGTCTGGCTGTCGTGTCCAGTACCCAGTGAGACAGAAAGTTCCACAATTTAAAGATTTATTTTTATTTTCTTTCCTATCGTATTTTGCAAACACCATTGAGTACCTACTTACATAGACACAACTTACAACTTAGCGAGCGCTTTTGACACTATTTTGAACATAAGCATTATATGATGAACTTCACCGAGTTACATTGATCGATGTTCAAGTGACAGGGAAGGACGACAGGGCGAACAACGAAGCTTTAAAAATACGACAAATTTTTAAAATGAAATTAATTTTATTAATAATACTTTAATACATTTTTACTGCACCGCAACTGCAAAATAGCTACTACAAATAAGTTGGACTAACAATTATCTGTTGTTATACAGTTGGATTGGTATAATAAAGCCACATGTAATTATATATCAAACGTGCTTTTATCTTTTGAAAATCATAAATATGTGAATTATGTATATTATGTGAAATGTTAGAACTCTCCTATTTAAGTATAAAAAAGTCATCGACTAATTTGGATAGTAGAATCTTTAAACCTACATATCATCACGCCTGTCTCCCATCGGGGTAGGCAGAGACCATGGATCTCCACCTACTACGCTCTTCAGCCTCCTCAACTCCCATTAGTCTCCTCAAAAATTCACATTTATTATACTTTTAAACCGGCCTTTTTTAAGGACATCGCTAATCTGATTGATGTACGCCGAGGTCAACCTCTCCCCACGCCTCTATCCACATTCATTCTTATAGACTGCCATTAATATGCCGTCAATCTACCAACATTCATTCTTTCTACACGACCAAACCATCGAAACATCCCCCTCTTTATCCTGGTCACTACATCATCTTTCATACCACAACACTCTCTTACTACACTGTTCGGCATTCTGACTTTAAGACTAATATCGCACATATTGCTGCAAAGCTCTCATTTCTACAGCATCAATCACACCCAACAGTCACTATCATACATTAGGGTTGGGACCAGCACGCCTCGATGAACATCCCCGTTCCTTTCTATATAAGTTTTGATTATAGTAACCCTCCCTACCGACTCTTAGGGTATACGAGAAGGGCGGGCTTGTGCAGGGACCATCTCAGTCAGGTTCTAACCTCAAATCAGCCAGTTTGCACAGACTTCATTCGGATCTCTAAAGGCTAGTGCCTTGGGTGAGCTGCCGCGACTGCACGTACAGCGCCCTCCCTATTGTCCAGAGAACTCCGGCGAGTCCATATCCAAGTCTGGGTCCGCCAGAGACGCCCATGAAGACGTACCTATCAATGACGGAGAACATGCCCGGTTGCCCGCCGTACCCTGGTCGTACCGGGTTCCGGGGAGTCTGTCTCCCCGGAACTCCCTATCTCTCGGGTCAGTTAGATAGGGTCTCGATGAACTGTCACATATCTTTCTACATAAGTTTTGGTTAATATGGCCCTCCCTATCAACCTCTTGGATATGCGGGAATGGCACTATGACCTGTGCGAGCAAGCCCGCACAAAGATCATTTAAGTGAGGTCATAACCCCAGATCAGCCCGTTTGCACGGATTTCACCCGGTTTTCTGTAAGGCTAGTGCCGTAGGTGGGCCGCTCCGGGTGTACGTACAGCACCCTCCCTATTTTCCAGATAGGCACCGGAGCTGTAGGCACGCTCTATTCCTGTCGCTTTCTGCAAGAGTAACGGTTGCCACCGCTACCTATTGCCTCGATTAACAGCCAAACGCGCCTGTCTTGAGATGTTCTTGCTACCCATTAAGGCATACAGAACTCCATGCACTAGATTTCCGGTTTCTCTTTCCGGTCTGATCTTTAAACCGCTCTCCTGAAAAGTTGTCATTTTGCAATTGGGGCCTTATTACACCATGGGTGGAATAGCTATTTTGCAGTAGCAATGTAGCCTTTACCATGGTAGCTAAATCATCACTTTGTCATAGTGAGGTTGACATTATTGGTAAATGACTGGTTTCATTTTATTTAAAAAACTAATTTATACAAATTTTTTACGTGCGTGTTTATACAATATGCTTTACAATATGCTTTATTTCTCTCAAAAAAGAAGAAGTATAACAAATTTTGTTACAAAATCAAAGTACAAGTTCTTTAGTGAGAGCTGGAGTCTGTACTGGGTTGAAAACCCGTGTTACAGATTTTTTGTTACAGAGTTTATGCAATCTTATATTATTTTATTTTATTATATTCCTTGAATGAACTACGGGATTATCGGGAGTGAAATTGACATCGGCACGTTTGAAGACTGCGACAGAGACAGAATGTAACACGTGAACATTTAAACACTAGCCAGTTATTCCGCGTCATTAAACCTCTACCGAGTAAAGGATTTATCATCCAAAAAAAGGTACTTAAATATATATTAAGTAACTTCTAAGTTGTTTTATACATCATATTACTAGCAATTAAAGTTAATTTTTCATGGCTTTCCATTCGACACTTCACATAAGACGTCATTTGATTACAGATGGTGCGTTTTACGGCGGTTCAACGAGCGGTATCTTATGACGCCTTACCGGTGAGGAAAAACGTCGTCCGCGATAAGCTAGGCGACGACAAGTGCCTAGTGCACCGCTACGCGTCAAATTGAAAGTAACGTTCCATGCACCATCGACATTATACTAATACTAAATACTACGTAGTCTATTAATTGTTATTGTTTATCTCATATTAGTATTTTTTTATCTGCACATAATGTGTTTAGTACAAACATTGCTTTAAAAAACTTGAATCAAATAAAGTCTTTATTGTTCTGATAAAGTTTATTACTTGAAATATTTGTTTTGTACCATATCCATTAGTTAAATAAGTAGCTGGCAACTTTAAACACATGCTAATAGATATAAAAGTTTGCAAAGGTGTAGTCTCTGTCGGCAGAGCGGGTGGAGAAGACCCGAAGGCCGTAGGGCGCGGGCGGCGTGCCACGATGTGGGTCACTGCCGCCTACGCGCAATTCGATAAAACTTTGCAAGTATCCGTACGCCGGCACTACACTACAGACACCTCTAACATTCTGCTGGAATGCTCCCAAATGTCATCAACTTCAAAAATGTCAATTATTCTAATTAATTACTGCCTCGAACAAGCCTGTGACGTAATAAAATTATGAACTACAGGTTTTACAACCTCTCACTTTCAAATTGACATTGTAACAAATTGTAGAGAATGGGAACGTAAAGAATTCAGTCGCTTTCAGATTCGCTGAAAACGCTGTAAAATTAGAGACCTATTTAAGGAAACCCAGTGAAAGTGTATGCTAATTAATAGTGCAAAATATCGACCAATTGTTTCACCAGGGTTCTAAATATAAAATTCCGTCTGTAAAGACAAAGTTCGCGCGCAATACGGGCGGGCAGGTAACGCGGGGATAGCGGCGGCGCGCGGGCGGCGGAGGCGGCGCGGCAACGGCGGGCGGCGGCGTATCGATTCCGCGGCGCCTCAGTCGGCGTCCGTCGAGCGCCGCGCTGCGCCGAGCGCCGGCGAGCGGGCGTCGCCCCTCCCCCCGCGTGCACCCACCGCCCGTCGACGATCTCTCGCCGTTGCCGGCAAACTCGAACGACCTCTTTTCGCTAACTAACGTCGCACCCGCGCCTGACTCCCGCCGCGGAACTGCACTCGATATCCACGCGACTCTCCCGCATATGAACGTTGTCAACTGAGCGCGTCGATATCTTTGAAATATTGTAGACATTTTTGAATTGGAAAAAAAATACTGTTCACACCGAAAAGTAGTTGGATTTAGTGTAACTTTGGATTATGTTACTTGAGGAAGTGAGACCGCCCTCCGAGTGAGGCGGCATGGCAGTGTAGGCGGCGCGAGCGCACAGCGGTGATGCGGGTCCGAGGATGGGCGAACTGCGCGGGCGCGTAGCGTGCGGGCAATGGATTGCTGCGGCCACCCGCCCGGCCAGTACGGCGCGGGCGCCGGGAGCTGGGACTACGGTCCGTACGCGCCGCTGCCGTATGCGTCGTACGCCCACTACTATCCGCCGCACCATGACCCTTACCGCTACTACCGCTACGACTACCCTGCACACCATTCTCACCATAACGACCATGTCATGTCTATGGGTGGGTACCTATACACTAAAACACATATGATTACAAATCAGAACTGCGCTCTTGCAAAAGACATCAACGCGTGCGCAACAGTATTGTTGTTTCTAGATTTCGTAGTACTATTGTAATATTTATTAGCGTACTCTGTTACTTTTCAAAGGTCCCATTGTATTAAATCCTTAAAATAAATGAAAGCTTATTCGTAAGATACTCGTATGGTATGCTTTTGTGTATTAACTCTTAGTTCAGTTGTATTCAGACCATTTTCTTTTGATATAAATTTTATTTACAATACATTGATATGTTGAGATAACTTATTAAATGATGAGATAATGAAACAGACATTTTCTTAGTAAAAAACAAATAAATTGCTTTAATTTTATTGCAACCAAGGAAAAAAGACCAATAGCCTAATCATTCGTACAGCAATATCAAAAAAGCTACTTTACATCACACGCAATATCTATCGCTGTAATTTCCAGAACAGGGTAAGTTAATATGGAGCATCGAAAATATGTAGTTTGAATATTCAAAACCTTGAACAAAAGTTTTCATTAATAGAGCCACAAGATTACTTTCAAAATATTGTTAGAAATATATTTTATTAGCATCTGGTTTGTATGTGTCGTAACTTTGCGTATAAAGTCAAGGAATAACGAGAAACTCCTGAGGCTAAACACTCTTCCCACAGTGAAAGTGCAAATGAAAATAAACGTTCACTGTACAATTTTACAATCTCTTTGAATTGACGTGTCGCAAAACAACATTTAACCTTACTGGAGACAATAAAGATTTTAAGCAGTCAATTGCGTTCTCGATTCAATATTAATGTGCAAGTTTGTCAGTCTTAAATGTTTAAGAAAGCAAAAGAATTAGGTAGAGTGCTGGCGTTTTTGATTGCTAGTGTTTACGTTGCACGTTTATGTAAAATTACGAATTTATTTTTGTCTTATGTGTTAAGTATACAGGTTCATTGTTATATGAGTTGTTCGAATTGCTTTAGGTTGTTAATTACACGGAAGTTTTGTGTATACAAATGAAAATCAACAAAGGTTAGTTCCATCGCCACTAGTCTTAATTCCTTGAACGTAATTGAATTACAAGTATTGACTGGTTTCACGACGGACACTCGAGAAGTCGCAACACGCGTCCGCTGTGACTACATCAAGTTTGTTTACCAATATAGAGATCGGAATCCACGCGTGTCGCGCGACCACATTCTGGACAATGAAGAATGAAGTAAGAATTAATGTTTACGTTTGAGCGGATTTCTCGGCGTCTACGTCACGTGTCGATGGAAAGGGTGTGCGGGGGGTGCGGAAGTGCGCTACAGGTGGTCGAGCGACCCTGCTCTGCCGCCACCGCGCCGCACTCGCCCCGACCCGCGCGCCGCGATTGATCGCTCGCGCCCGCAGCCACTCTACATATTGACCGGGGTACTAACGCCCGCGTCGCGATTCACTGCCAACTTCGTGTACATGCGATGTGAAACATGTTGTAACCCCTCAGACACGTAGCCTAATGATGTGGCGCGACCCTATCACATATCTCCATAAAAAGCCTTTTTCTATGAGCACGTCCTTCCATTCATGGGTTAGTTTACTAAAAACCTTATACACCGACTTGATAGTCAAAGTTAGTATCGATGACTATGAATTTGAATAATGCTCGAGTCGATTCCACTCAGTTGTAAAGTTTAATGATCGTCGAGAGAAACGTGAATAAAAATACTTAGGCCTCATTTTGTTCGTAATAAACGATGTCATGCCAGGTCAGCGATTAATGAATATGGAGATGGAGTTCTTCACGCAATTTAGCACGACACTTAACAATTTGTATATTTTAGCGCAAGGAAGACGTGCAAAAGGTGCGAGAATTACAGATTACTAACTTGTTTACTTTTGCTTTTTTTAATGTCATCTCGAGGCTTTCTCAGCTCGCTGACGCTTTGTCAGTGTTTACAAAACACGATGAAATTGCGAACCAGCACTCTTAGTAGAGCAGGATCGATGGAGTCCCTATCGATCCACTTTGCGAAATGCGTCAATCCACATTAGCTGCTGGAAAGCGGAATCTAATAATAACAATGTCACTTTCACTGGACTATTTTTGTTTCAAGCTATTTCACGCTTGAATGGACGGAAAAAGTAAATGCAAATAGTAACTGACTGTATCGAATTAAACTTTAGTTTTAGTGAGATTTTAATTACTATTACTTAGTAGTAAAAATTTTCTCAATTAATGGAGGAGGGACATTACTTGACAGACGGAAAATTGCGTAGAGCCACCGTAGGTTGACTTGTGGAGTTTGAGTTACCTATATTAATATTTTCTCTTGTTGTAGATTACGGGTCGTACGCTTCGAAGGAGGCACGTGTACGTCGCGCGCTAGCGCGTAGAGATGCGCGCGCGCACACGCCTTCGCATCACCTGCCGCATCCGCATACTGTAAGTACCTACAACTCATGAACAAATAATCATTTAATCATTGAGACAACAATCCCAGTTAAATGTCAGCAGTTCACTCACAGTCACATTAAGGATAATTATTTATTCTTAAATATTTTGTTTTCAACAGCATATGAGCATACCCTATACATATAATACTAAGCGTATATAAAAAGCGTAAGCAGAAAGGTTAAGTTACTACAAATAAACTTTAATAGCGTTAAAACATTTAAATAATTTGTTATGCTTAAATTAACATAATAAAATTGATAGATTTTGGTCCCTTTTGTGCAAATGTGCTATTATTCTACCTTGAAATCTTAATAATTAATAACAAATCAAGAAAATAAAGATATCATTTAAAACAAATGGACGTGAGAGATTTCCCGCGTATATCTGCGTGTCACAATAAGTCACGTTTACCGCAGTACATTAATTTGAATACGACATCGCCGAGCAAAAAGGCTAGTTAACAAATGTAGGTCAGTGTCACAGGACAGACGGTATCCTCGCCGCGACGCCCAGCGGCACTTTAATACCCGTTATCAATCATACTCACCACACATAAGACGCAAATTCATTCAAACCATCCCTCCCGACTTCCGACTGTCATATGTTTGTCTCATTTGAATGTTTAACTCCGACCAAACAAGCACACGAAACTTTTAGAGTGATATTTTGAAGTTCGATACAAGGTAATGTGACCGTTCATTGACTACCTGAGTGATTGAAATCTTTGAGCTCTTTAATTACAAAAAAAACACACACTGAATAAATTTATGCGGTTTTGAGTTTTATTCAATAGTAAACAAAGTTTTTTTTATTATATTTGGGAATAGCGGAGAATGCTAAGAAATAAAACACTTGTAGTGGCAAGATCAAAGAGTATAGATTATACTTAAATTAGATACTCGACTGGACGGGACGTTAACAAATAATCGAGTCGAAAGTGGTATCATTACGGCTTCATATTACGGGACAAGTGAGCGGCACAAAGGCGATAATGAGGGCGGTGAGGGCTGAGGGGGGTATGAGGGTGCGGAGGGCGGAGGGGCGCGGGTGGAGGTTGCCTATGAAAGCTGTCAGCGGTTGATTTTTCCGAGTGTCGTGGGCGCTCGCTGATCGATAAGTCACGTGGCCGCGCCGCTCGATAGTTAGCCTCGGCAAATCTCCCGCCACTACTACCTGCCTACTATAAAGTGAATTCGACCATAAATGCTACGTATATCAAGCTTAGAGCTCTTCTAATATTGGTCGTATGCTATGTTTCTTTTCCCATATATTCGAGTATGTCCTATGTGAATTTTTACTCCTTTAAAGTTCGTAATAGTTTACTTTGAACTATACTCAAAAAGCACCGATTCTATTGTATATATTTTAATTTAAACTACACAATACTTACGTATACATATACGTATTCCGTTTATTCAATTTAGATATAATATTAATTTAACTAATGAAATATTAAAATACCTTAATGAGATATTATCAAAGTTTATTGTTTATTTTATATTCGACAATCAGTTTAAAGTAAAGTATGCAATAATATTATAACGTAGCTTATCGCGTAGCGCATCGTAGACACGTAGCAATCCGTAAGGCGCTACGCCAACCTGGCCTAAGGTGTACCATTTTCCCGCCAACTGGCGCGGCTTGTAAACATGTTTTTGAACTCTATAATTACTTTTAAAGGCATAATTAAAATATTATATGCTGGTTCATTATGTTATGATTATGACGAATTTAGAACGGAAAATGGTATGTTGTCATAACATTTCGAAATATTTCCGTTTGTATAGAAAATTTTATCCGACTAACGTCAGAAAATTCGTTAAATTGTTACTCAAGAAGTGGAGAAAAAGAAATCATACAAATTTGTTTTCAACAACGTAAAATTGCAAATCATTTTTGAAACAAAGGCAGGCGAGTTTGGCACGAAGGGTTTCTAGTTAAATTAAAAAAATATATATTTCATAAAACAAAAGTTAGACGGAAATTGAAAGTTACCATGTTAACAATTAGCAATGCTCCTACAAAGTTTTAATATTTGCTCTTCATTATAACGTGAAGTCCTTAATAAGTGAAGTGTGAAGCTAACATAGTTTGTTCAAGATCTACTAGCAAGCATTACGAAAATACAAAATAAATTACAACATTCATCTTGTAGAAATGGAAGCTTGCGTACAGGACGTCCAATGTTAGTTTTAAAGATAGAATACTGTAATAAGAGAGCGTTGTGTTATGAAAGATGGTGTTTTGGTATGTGGAAAAATGATAATAATGGTGGTAGTAGACTGACGGCACAAATTTATAAAGACATTATGGATGGAAACATGGAGAGAGTAGACGTCGACGTACATACATATCACACTCAGATTGGAGATGTTCTTAAAAAAGACCCAGTTAAAAGTTCCAAGAATACATATTTTTTAAAGTCCCGCAATAGAGAAACTCTGTGTCGTGGGTGTGATGGACACACACATAGACAATCACAAATTACTCCCTAACTCATGAGAGAAATAAATGTAGGCCATACAAATGTCTCCCGGCCCGGGAATCGAACCCGGGACCTCTGCGAGGCAGACTAGTATTTGCAACCGTTCAACCATGGAGGTAGTTATATGAGGCAGTTATTTAAATGAAGGGCACGAAGGGAGGCAAAAGAGGTTTGTCAGGATCAAGTAGAGGTTCATGGTTTCTTACGACAATGGGAGATCGGCGTGACGGTATGTACATATGTATGTGGTTTGTATGTTTTAAAATTGTATCAAAATGTAGTTAGTTAGAGCTTTCGGCTCGAAAATCTCAGTCCGATCCTAGGTATTAATTCATATATACGATAGCATGCTTATATAATACTTTAGTCGTACGTTAATAATGTTTACGACCACCAAAACAAGATGAAATTATTGTAAATAAAAATAGCAATCAATCAATAAACAATGCTCTAAAACCTATTTTAAAATGTTTACTTTTGTTTTATTAGGTAACTTACGTAGATTTTGAGCATAACAGTATATATACGTAGTATTTTGGACTTTTTTGCTTAGAAGATAATTTGTTTTTTCTCGCAAAGATGTATTTAAGCGTAACGGTTGTTAGGGGCAAATTGTAGCCCTAAGACGTGACGGATGCAGTAGCTGCAACGCTGCATGGCTCTAGTGACGGACATCGATCGCGCCCTTCCCCACCTCTCACGCCCTCCGCGCCGCGCCAGCCCACCCCGTACCTCATACTAAACATTATCTGGTGTACAGATCGTGTGCCCACATTCCGCTTCATGTAGCAGCTATGATTTATTCGAGAAGCGATGAACGCGTGAAATGATGATAGGTCCTGGTTACGTGTAATTTCTAACCTGTTATTTTTACGGAGTGTTGAATTATTTTGTTGTAAAAAGCACATATCGGGTCATCTAATTAAGAAATCTTAATTAAGTATATAAAGTTACCGATTTACGAACTGTTTATAAAATACATAGATAGTACGCCAGTAAATTCAAAACACAACAATTTATAATGAAATTATTTTTTTTTTGTAACAAAATTCTATTTCATGAACAAATCTTAAATAGGTGGTATATAATGTTGTGACATAGATATTCATGACAGTATTAGCATCGCGTTCATCAAAGATATAATTATGTTGAGATTTATACAGTCTACTATTAGTATTCATACATCACATTACCGTACTTCACCTGTGGTATTAAAGTGTGCGGTTACATTACGAACGTCTTAAGTTGCGTGTATAAAACTGACTGAGGTTTATGGATGTGTGACTTATCTTTTGAGGACACACAGTAATGTGTCGAATCACATTTGTATTAAAGGGAATTTTTGTAATAAATAATTATGAGACAAGTGTATACTGCAAAAATGTTGTTAGTTATAGCAACCATAACGATACCCTTACCCGTGGACGAGCACAAATATCTACAAACCATGATCATCATTATACGCCCCACACTTGGGTCGTGCAGTGTCCTCTAACGAGGGTGCACGCCATAGACGCCACGCTGGCCCAATGCTAGTTGGGGATATCATGCGTCTTCAAAAGGCTTTCAGCATACAATAAGTGAGTTTCATCACTTTTCCTTCAACGTTGGATTTACTTTTGAATTTAAAAATAAAAGCCAAAGATACATGCCGTAATCGACATCAAATAAGAAGCCATTGTTATCCCACAGGGCTACTACCATACGATAGGACCTTACACATTGCAATAAAATAAATTATTATTTATGTAACAATATAATAATAATAATATAAAAGTGTTCTACATTTGTACTAATTGCAAAAACTCGAATTTACCAGATTTTACGAAAGTTTTTTTTGAATTATTCAAAATTCTGTATAATCTGTAGATATGGATTGATTGCAAAATGTTTTCAAAACATATGTACGCATATACATTCTCATTTAGTCGCTATTTTTCACAAATGAATCAATATGAAAAAAGCAATATATTACATAGCAGTAGATAGTGTGGGTAGGTGAGCCGCCGTCCTCGCAGGCTTCTCACTTACAGCCCTCTGAATCGATAACGTGCTCGAGTGTACATGGAACAGGTTTCACTTCTTAGCTATATACGTAGACATACACAGCACAATGCATAACCTTACATGACGCTTTTGCGCACTAAAACGCACTGTCTTCATTATATCATCAGTTTCAGTGCGGTAGCCAAATACAACTTGACTTGCTACGATTTTAGCATATTCTTTGCTTGTACATTCGTAGACTCTTTGCACTTATCGACCCTATTATCAAATCTCTGAAATATTTTTCTGAAACAGGTTCGGATTATTACGGCTTATTACTATACCCTTATATGTACACCGAACAAGCCAATAATATTTTTTGATTACCAACATATTCAGCCGCAATATACACTTCTTGGTACGAAACTTTAAAAACATAAGTTCTATAAAACATATAAGTAATACCTAAAATACATATGTATTGTGTAATTGTTGATGCAAATTCAAATGCCATACGTATATCTTATTTAATATTGCAGCTAGATGAATGTGCGTTACATTGAAAATTAATATCTCAGATATTTACAATCCTCCACGATATAATTTAGTCCATGCAGGCGTAGTATTCTTAAAAAATGTACCATGTATGCATATTGAGGGTTCCGTGGTTCCATCAGTACAAGTCGGTGTATGTTCATATACACTGATCCCACATATCTAAGAATGTGGTATTTACGGCGTTGTTCTCAGGAAACAAAATGTTAAACTTTATTTCTTTCGTAATTTATACGACATATAGTAATCAAAATTGGACGAAGTTTCACATATTTATGATCCAAGAAAAAACGATAAAAAAAACACTAAATTCAGATCATAATATCTTTGAGCTATATATGTACTTATTGAGTGCAGCGACTATAGAGTGCTGAGCGGCCGATAAAAATTTTATTGAGAGTTTTAATTCACTGTTACAGCCGCCCTTGGAATGTGGGATGAATAGCCGCCCTGCCTACTGCGAACCGCAGATGTGGCCTCATTATCAGGTAATCCGTTTACTTAAATTACAGATCTGATACCATTTCAGTAAACGTTTTAACGATATTTTGTAAATTTGTCAATTCACATGAACCGAAAGTTGCTGCGTAATTGTATAAAAAAATGCAACTTTTAACTTAAATGTTCGCAAGTTACTTAGAAGTTCAGCTGTAATTGGCAGCGGAGCCAATTCTTTAAATCATATCTAACTTTTCGATCATATCGACAAAATGCAAACTTCAGTGTAGTGCAAAGATATTTGCCTACAGATGGGCCTCGGCGGGGGTTGGGGCGGCGCGAACGCAGTGTCCGGCGGATGGATGGGGCGGAATGCTTGCTCTCGCGAGCACATGCGCTATCCTGCTGATTGCCGACCCGTCAAGGTAAGTGATAATAAAAATTTCAATAAATACCTATTTTGCGAAGAGAAAAATGACAATAAATTTTAATTTAATTGTGAAATTTTTCAGGTGTCACATATGCCTCCTCAAAATCAAGTGTGCCATCCAGAAGGAAGATCAACTCCATATCCTGTTTACGAGGACACACGTTACAATGGAGAAAGCACCGTGCGGCAACAGAACACCCCAGAACTTCCAGCAACAGGGCCGGTCCCAGTGGAGGCATCAAGGACAGCGCGTGACTGCTTTTATCCGGAGCCTCGCCGCTCACCCCCCGAAGAGAAACGTCCTCCAGTTGTACCGCTACCTGCATTTCAACAAGCCTTTGGTTCCACAGAGATAGGGAAATTCGCCGAGGCGTTTAGTCGCACAGAAATAGCTCTGGAGGACGCCTCCAACGAAAATTTCTCGTTCGAATCCTTCCCCGAGTGGGACGGCTCAACCGAGCCTCAGTGGTCCACACAGCCTGCCTCACGGGAAATCAAATGCGAAGACAGCTATTGAAAAGGGATATCTTCGCTCTAGTGCTAATTTTGGGCGAATTTGCCTTTAGGTAATTAGACAATTGTTCCACCACCACGTTGCCAAAACGAGTAGCTGCGATGATAATTGCAATGTCATAGAACTTTAGAATGTGATAACATAACTATCGTGTACTAAATGAATCGGTCGGATAGTAGTGGTGTGACGTCTAATTTATATAAAGTAGATTATTAGTAAGTTATTCCCTTTAACTAGTTTTAGCCCAGTCTTAAAAAGAAGCGATGAAACTTGGATAAAGGGGACGGATAACTTAGGTACAGCAGTACATAGGATAACAAAATGATCATGACTCGATGTGCCTTTATTCGGACAACCGGCTGCCCAGCGCGCGGCGCCCCCCGCGCACCGCCCGCCCGCCCCGCGACGGCAAGCACACAAAATTACTACAATAGCAATTATAGGGACCAACGTTTAGACAAATATACACGACCCTGTCGCTACAATACCGTGTGCAATAAGCTCAACGAAATGTTTTATGAAAGTTCTATGAAGAAATGAAATGCAAAATGTCATTAAAAATTATCGTCTAGATAGCATAAGAAAACGATAAAATTTTCTTCCTTTTGCTCTACTTCCATAATAGTTCACAATCAAAAATGAACATTGTAACTATAATATAATGTCTTGTGTCGTCCGATTTAAATGTACTTCGAATAACGTCTCTATGTTTGTAGAGCTACGACTTCGAAACAGAATGTCTTTCCAATTCTGATGATAAATTAGTACAAAACTTACTTCTTGCAACTGTAACATAAAAAAAACATTATTAGTAAAATTGAAACATTGTCTACAATGTGTGCCCCACATATGCCGCGCGGAATCAAAGTAAACCTTCTAAATTTCTGCAGGTAACAGTCATGTGTGTACCTTCGTGTTTACTTACTCGTAGGTAGTTAAATTTGATAAAAATTTTAAAGAGATTACTTATGAATAAAATGGCTTTTTAATTAAAATAATTAGGGGTCCAACAACTTTAATGTAAAGTGTTTTGTCTGATTTTATTTCCCCATTTAAGAACATAAACTACGATAAGATGAAATATGTACAGTTTCGTCATTGATAAAATTGACATCAGCTGTTTTATGTTACTTGAGGCTTTAAATTTAAAGAGTCGTTTTCAAAAATTAGAAATATTTTGTTCTTTCGGGTATAAACTGTAGTAGGTATTAATTGTTTATTAGTGCCTGTGATAGTTATTTTTGTTATTACTGAATAGAGTTTGACGTTAGTATTTGTTTGAATTTTTTGTTATATATATATATATATACATACATATAATGTAGAATGTAGAAAGAAAATGTTTGCGTGTACATATTACAAAAAAGTAACATCCCTTCGCTTCGTGACTTAAGGTTTAATTTGCGAAAAATAATACAAGATACAAAATTATTGCGGTTGAATTTTGTATTTTTCTTTGTGATTTTAGTCAATAAATTACGTCTCTTATTATAATAAATTTATAGTATCATAGTTGAATGGTATTTTCCGTCTACAGTACTTACTTGTATTATTAAAATTTAAATGTTTACACTTACGCATATGTGACATTTGTCTTCCAGAGTCTCATGACACGAAATATTTGAAAAAAAGAGGAGAATTGAACATAGCAAGCTTAATTTGACAACTCTGATTACACCAGTAACAACATTGAATACTTTGATACTTAAAAGCATTTTTTAGTTTTATAGTAAATGCGCATTTCTCTAGTTTTTAATTGAAGTTTTTCCAGCTTCGGTTTCCACATAGGTTGATTGGAATAGATTACTACTAAAGCAATAATGCCGCGTGTTGTGAGTTCTATCTTTTGTTTGTCTTTGTAATATGTTCTTGAGTACAATAACGAGTAGTTGCATTGTATTGTATTACTATTATTTTATTACAAGAACGTTTTATTCCAATCTTATCAGTGTTGCCACTACATATTTCAATTTCCTTCAATGTCAGGAGTTTCTGGTAGACTGACACGTATTTATTATAATAAATGTCTTTATTATCATCTGTTGAATATCAAGTTTCTTCAGGGACAAGTGAGGACATACTTCTCATATGTTCGCCTTTGTATAAGTATAGTATAAATCATAAAGACCTAATTGTGTTTTTCTTTTTTATACTATATTTTCTCATATAGATGTTGGCGTCAGTCTCCTGTAAGGCAAGGGTGTGGACTAAGTTCCACCAATGCCGATTATGGACATAATATAATAATAATAATAATAACGCTCACACTCAACATAGCCCCGCACTAGGGAAACCCTGTGTCGCGGGTGCCATGGACACACACATAGACAACCACAAATTACACCCAAACTCACGAGAGTAATAAATGGCCCGGGAATCGAACCTGGGACCTCTGCGTGGCAGTCCGGCATGGTAACCGTTCGGCCACGGAGGCAGTTAGTATAACTTCCAAGAGTGTTACAACTTCCTCGAATATACAGGTTTCATTAAAAGTTATTATTAAAAAGTGCAATTGGTATTTTTAAATTAAATCCCAATAATTATTATGATTTTGCACTTTGTTATTTTATATTTTTCTAGTTTCTTAAAAACTTTAATTAAATTTGAATCTCTGATCTTAATTTTGTTGAACGCAAGAGTTCATTGCTTGTGGCCCATTATTTTCATGGAATCATTTATTTATACTTCTAAAAGTATATCACATTCTCCGTGAAAAAACTTGGTATATACGGTTTTGTGGATGTATAATTGTGTATTAAATTTTATTAGTGAACTGAGCTTAAATGGAAAGTTTTGTCTTATGTGTGGTGCATGATACCGGTAACTTCCAATGGTCTTCATTTTTATACAGCATGAGTGTATTCCCAAACTCTTTGGACGAAATCAGCAAAATTAATGGAGTGCCTTACGTATTTAATATATGAAGTTAGGGTGGATGATTTAATCTAGCATAATTCGATGAAACACCATAATATGATAGTGTAACGATACTTCTTTTGAACCGAATATTTCATTACTTAGTAGTTAACTTAATAAAAGTTTTTTAGTAAATTATATACATTAACTTAACTACAAATAAAGTTTTGCTAGTCATGGTGTGCACTTGCATTTTGTGCTATTAAGCTGCTATTTTAAGTATTCTTTTACGGTGTTGATTTTTTTAAACTTTGTGTTATTATTTTATGTTAACTGCAGTCTTTGATTTAATTGTGTTACCCATTTTAGGAATAGGTCAATTTAATTAATTTGTAACAAAATTAGTTCATAACAAGTCACTTTATTCAATTAGAAATGCTTTTAAAATTATTTATTTTACGATTATAGTAATTTTAGCAGCTCTTATAGTAATTAATTAAAATTATGCATAAGACTCTATTTACTAACTCATGAAACGCATTTTATTTAAATTAGAGGCGTTTCTTACAAGTGTTTCTTTTATTATTATAATATTATATATACATGTAAAAGTAGTCTGTGCCACATTACATTTGTATATAGGATATATACAATTCCCTAGATAGTCCTATTGTTATTTGTTTAAGATCTAGGAACATATTTTTTACTGTAGAGATGGTAATTTAAAATTAATATTGTCTAGATGTTTCCATTATAGAGCTTCCCGATAAAACATCTCATGCTTTAGTCTACCCTCAAAGTTAATCGTATCATTGTCCATAAAACATTCAAATTTTTTATATCAAAATAACTAACTATAATTAAGAAAAAAGCGTTACTTATTCGAGATCCATTTTACACTGATTTAATTGCAATATTATATTTAGTTGCTAGCTGTGATCATTATAAAGCACCCGTCATTTTAAAAGCTTTGTTATTTAATTCGCATAAAAAAATCGATTCAAAGAGCATTAAAAAAGTTTCTCGTAATTTCAAGTGTCAATCTTAAAATTGTTGATAATTTTCTATTTAAAAAATGATCAGCTGTTATTTTGACATTAAATTTGTTAAAAAATTAGGCCAACAAAATTTTAGATTCTAAGTAATTATGAAAATTTGTTGAGACAGTAAAGTACTGAACAAAGGAAATATTAAAATGAAAATATATTATGTATCTAGTTATAATTATTACTAATCTTGTAAATAATTAATTATATTTTTAATGTTTCACTCATATCAATCTAGAAGAAACTGTTTTATTAGCAAATTGTAAGGTTTTGATCCGACACACTGATATGTTTGTTTTATTGACGTCAACGTACGATTTAATAAACACATTGTACCTACCAAATAAAATTATTGGTTTTTTATTTATCGTTCTGCAGGACCGTTTCGTAGTAGTAGAGCCCTTAACGGGCGCAGTGGGAGTGCCCCTCAGATTTTTGCGATTTAAAGCTCTCTGAGTGGCACTGCAACTGTAATGGACAGGCATGTCCCTAACCATCAGGCGCACAATGTGTATGTCCCGTCACTATTATAAAAAAAACCCCTCAAAACAGGAACGCAGTATAAATAAAAATATAAAATTTTGCTTTTTATTTGAATGTGTTATTATTCGTCATCTACTCTGTGAAATAAGTTTTGAAAATATCTGATGTACAAAAATGCATCGCTTTTATTACAAAATGGAAAATTATCTACGGCTACCCGATTTAAGGATAGTGTTGTATAATGTATAATGTATCTAAAACTAGACGGCATTGCCATTATAAAGGAGCCTTATTGTCCTACATGACTGATAATGTATTGAAAAAAAAAAAAAATGTTTTCGAATGCGACAACACAAAGTTATATTGTCCAGGCAGAGCATTTCTCTTTAATTTTTAACCGACCCGTCTGTTACGCGATTACTACGATATTTGTGAACCGATTTCGATGGTTGTTTTTCGTTGGAAAGGGGGTATCTCAGTAGTGGTCAGAATTGCAAATTAGGTGATGTACCCAGTTTATTGGATTTCACCTACTTTGCGTTAACCGATTTAAATAAAACTTGGCAAAGAGATGTAATTCCAATAAAAATAAAATGTTATGGTGACCTAGAGCTGATCTGATGATGGAAATAGCAGACAGATGAGAGGAACTCCTCAACAGCGTACGCAGTAGCTACCTTGTGTTTGGACTCAAATGATTCGTTTTAGCGAGAACTTCCATAATAATAAAAATAATAATTTGTTTATTTGCTTAAAACATGCTATAACAGAAGATATTGCAAGAGAGTGCCAGTACAAACATGTTTCGCATATATTAAAGAGCATGCATTTGACTAGTTATATAATGTCGATCAGACTACCACAACTCAATAATACAAAATTGTCACAAACGTGTCAAGTTACAAATTAATTTGGTGAAGATTGATAATCTTCAAAATAAAATCTTACATCTCCTTTTCTGTCAAATATTTCGTTTAGGTCATAAAAGTTATTTTTATTTAACCACTTGTACAGCTTTGTTTTAAATAAACTTAAGTGTAATAGTTTCATCTCAAGTGGTATTTTATTATATATTTTTAAATACACATTTTTAAACAACTTTTACTATATTTAGCAGTCATAGGAATAGTGTCAAGTACAAGTCTATTCGGGTTTCTGCTGAGTTTAGTATTTACATCATTGGTTTTCTTAAACAAATATGTGTGTTTTCGTACAAAGATACAAATTTCATATATATATAATGATGGTAGTGGCAACAGATCAAGGCTCCGAAAATAAGGGTCTGCATGTTTCATCCGGGGGAATTCCACAAATTGCTCTAATGCATTTCTTTTGTGCTACAAAATGGTACAGTTATGACAGCAATCTTATTTGTTACATTTTTCAGCTTTTTTAAGGCATATACAAACTTATTGATTCTCGAACATACATTCTCGACGTAAGTTTTCCAGTTCAGTTCCTGATCTATGGTTACTACAAGAAATTTTGTGTGGGATACTTCCTGAATTGCATCGATATTTAAATTGAAATTATATTTAGTATGTCCCGATTTATTAAATTGTAAATAATAATAATAATCGTTTATTTTCTCCCATCATGTACATAATATAGGTTGAAGTGATACAGATAAAAGCGAAAGGATGGGAGACAGGAGCTCAAACTAGGATAGACCTGTGCTATGAGTCTCCTGAACTCCAACACCCGAATACACATACTTGTTTTGAATCGAAAATGACGTAAGGCACAGAGATAACAAAATAAATAATAAAAGAATAAACAAAAATCGTTCAAAACTACAATACTAACAAAAATTACATAGATGAGTGGGTTGGTTTTATGTGTGTGTGAGTGAGTGTGTGTATGTGTGTGTGCATGCATGTCTTTATACAGCAGGAGACACTAGT